ACGAGTGAGACAGACTGATTTTCTACTCTGCTCTTAGCTGAGCGACGTGTTGCCTCAGGAGTCTGCGAGGCCCCACCAGGTGTGAACCTTAAATGTCTAAACCATGAGCTGAATTCATTTCTATTTTTATAAATCACCCAGTTTCAGGTACTTTCTGTTATCACCAATAGAATGAACTAAAAAAGAACTTGTATCTAAAATATGTAAAAAGCAAAACAAAACAAAAGGCTATGGTGCCAGCAGGTGGCGTGATGGTTAAGGGCACTGGACTCCCATATGGCTGACCACGGTTCAAGTCCTGGAACTAGCAGCTCGCTCTCTCTCTCTCTCTTTCTTTCTCTCTCTCACACAGACTCTGTCCCTCTCTGGTCAAATTAAATAAATAAATATAGTTAAATAAAATAATTCTTTTTTAAAAAAGCTACTAGAGTTCAATTATATAAAGACACAAATAACCTAATTTAAAAATGGGCAGAGGAGGCAAATAGATATTGCTCCAAAGAAGACACACCATCAATGGCCAATAAGAAAATGAAAAGATGTTCAGCACCATTCGTCACAGGGTAATACAAATCCAAACCACGAAATACCGCTGTGCACATACGGGATGGCTGTAACGAAAAAGCCAGGTAGTAGCAAGTGCTGGCGACCATGCAGAGAAACTGGAACGCCCGCGCCCTGCTGTGGGGATGTTTCCATTTGGAAAACAGTCTGGCCGTTTCTCTAACCGTTAAACACAGAGTTCCTGTATGACCCAGCAATTCCACTCCTTGGTATACGCCCGAGAGAAATGAAAAGGTATGTCCACCCAAAAACCTGGATGCAACGTAGCTATTCATAACAACCAAAAAGTAGAAACACCTTGATACGTTCCACTGATGAACAGATAAGTGAATTCTGATATAACCATCAATGAAATAGTCAACTGAAAAAAGGAACGAGGTACTGGCACATGCTACAACTTGGATGAACTTTGAAAACATGGTAAGTGGCAAAGGTCACATATCATATGATTCTGTTGCTATGAAATGTCCAGAACAGGCAAATGGAGACAGAATTTATACTAGTAGGTGGTACTACCAGAAGAGAATGATGGGTGGGGTTTGAGGAAGGAGGACAAAAACGTGATGCAAATGTTGTAAAACTGCCAATGCCCAATGCTAGGGCTACACCGAAAGCCATTGAATTGTACACTTTAAATGGATGAATCACATGGCAGATCTCAAGAAAGCTGCTTTTTAAAAAACCAGGATATATGGGCCAGTAGACAGTGCGGTGGGTAAGACTGGACTTCTACATGGCTGACCATGGTTCAAGTCCCAGACCTGGCAGCTTGAAAATTATGCCGGGCACATGTGCATGGGTGCCCAAAATCCTGAAAGGAGACAGAGGAGAAGGGGCTGCAGATGGCCATCTGCCTGGGAGGCGATTTCTCATTTGCCCTCTCTCTGCCTCTGTCTCTCTCCAGTGAGCATGTGTGTCGTATGGCAAAACAAAACAAAACACAAAATCCCGAGTGTGTCTTTTTCTTTCGATGTGCGTTTTTGGTTCGGTAGGACACATGCACTCACCAGAGAGGAGAGAGACAGAGAGAGGGAAAGTGAGAAATCAGTCCCTGGGGGGATAGCCATGCTACAATCTCCCTTCTCCATGCTCCTCTGGAGATTTTGGGCACTCATGCACACAAGCCTGGCATGATTTTCAAGCCGCCAGGTCTGGGACTCAAACCATCGCTGGCCATGTGGGAATCCAGTCACCTTAACCACCACGCCATCTGTTTGCCCCAGTGTGTGTTTTCATATACTCATATATAAAATATACACACATACATATATATGTACATATATACTATACATGTACACAAGTATAGAACATGGATATGTATCTGCATATATAATATACTTAATATTTAAATATATTGTCTATATGCAATTATATGATTATGCTAACATATTCATCTTGTATAGTGTGTATATATCTTTATATACATAGTGCAAATATGGAGTGCTTTTATATGATCAACTATAATTTTACAAATATAGTTAGCATGTATATAAATATACATCATACATATAAATATATGTTATATAAATATCTAATTATATAGATATATGATATGTTCATTTATAGACGAGTAGTTCAGATAAAGAGCTCATTGATATACAAATATATTTGTTACATATGAATATATTATTTTATGAACTTATATGCACATAGTGATATGTATATTGTACATTTAAATATTCATAAAAATGCACATAAGTGTTCAATAGCATATTCCCTGAGAGCCAAAGTAGGTCTCACCCTGGTCGGCCACACAACGCGGCACTCCCCGCCTGGGTGTGACTCCCGGCCGGGCTGAGCTGTGTGGCTTCAGGCGGGTGACTTAGCCTCTCAGTGCCCCACTGGACAGGGTCATTGCGAGAACCAAGCTGCAGTAAGTGCTGGAGCGGGCATCGTTTCCTCTGTGCGTCTCAGTCAGGGTTTGCAGTGAGCACAGGGGCTGTTCAGTCCCTACCCGTGACACTGTCCCACACTGCACCAGCAGAAGGGAGGCTGGACGCCAGAGTCCCCAGGCCAGGCTGGCTCCCAGCCTGCTGTCTGCTGCCCCACCTCAAGTCGACCTCAGGCTTTACTGGGGCCGCTTCCTTCTGCAGGTTGGTGGGGCACAGAGCTGGGTGCAGCTGGCCGGAGAGCAGCCCCAACCCAGGAACTGCACTCAGGGAGGGCTTCAGTCTGGGCCTATTTCTAGAAGTGTGGGGTCAGAGCTGGTGGGGGCCGTTATTTGAGCAGGGTCTGCTCCTGGCACCTGTCACAGCCCACGTGCCCCTGGAATTGAAATCTACGCGAGCTCTAGAAATAGCTCAGGCATCTGAGGACAGACAGCTCCCATTCCCTCGCTCCCGCGGGCTCCAGGCTCCGGGGAAGAAAGGCAGCACCGGGCCCTGGGGCGAAGCAGGAGAGGGGCCAAGGAGGAAATAGAGTGCCCAGGCATCCTGGGTAGCCAGCCCAGCCACCCTTCTGCCAGGCCAGGGGGCTGGAGCTGCCTCCGGCCACACTCCAAAGTCGCTGCTTTGACAAGCACATCAGCCTTAGAGCAGGGGCCCTCAGCCCCTGAGGGGGACACACCGGGGCTCCCACATCTGGGCTTGCAGGCTGGCCAGGGGCCTCGAGTCTGTGCCCACCCCACATCCCAGGCAGCTGACCTTCTTCCCAAGGAAGGCGCTCCTGCACTGAGGAGCAAGGGGCAGGGCTCCTGGGTTAGAGCAGAGGCGCCCACCCTCTCCCTGAGGCTGTTTCTCCATCTAGACATGGGCTCTCTGACCAAGCTGCTCTCCATGCTGGAGCCAGGCTGAGCGTCTCACCCAGAGTCCAGTGCACACTTAGCAGGCAGAATTTGTACTCTC